CTGCTCCCGTCCCTCCACTTCCGTTTCATTTTTCCATCCCTGCTTCCATCTTCCTGCTCCTGCCCCTCCATCCCATCCCGCTCCTGCTTCCCAAACTCCCATTCCCCTTTTCCCATCCCCAGAATTCCACCCTTTTTCTCATTCCCTTTTTCCCACCCGCCTCCTCCCATTCCCTGGAATTCCATTCCCAATCCCCCCAAGCCCCTCCTGGCTCCTTCCAGATGTTCCCGTCCTCCTGGACAAATCCCTGCCCTGCCCGAGCTCTTGGATCTGCTCCCAAAATCCAGAACCCATGGAATGAAATCCCAGAAGTTTCTGGGATCCCCCAGGACTAAGTGTGCCCAGGAATTCCCACAGCAACTCCCTGGCTCCATCCCGGAATTCTTGGTGTTCCTTTGGGATCACCATCCTGCCCCCCAACATTCCCAGCAATTCCCAGGGTTGTTTCCTATCCCAGCAATTCCCAGGTGGAGATGGAGCCTGGAGCAGCTGATGGGAATTCCAGGAATTCTGGATCGTGGGAATCAAAAGCGATTCCCAAAGCCCATCCCAGACCCCCCAGATCCCTCCTAAATCCCTCCCTGAATTCCCAGCCCATCCCTCCCTTCCCACATCCATGAGCTCCCAAAACTCCTGTTCCTTGTTCACCACAATTCCAGACATTCCTGATACTGGGAATTCTTGGGAATCCAAGCAATTCCCAAAAAACCCCACAGCTCCAGGAACTCCAGACCCTGGGAATCAAAGCCATTCCCAAAAGCACCACGGCTCCATGAATTCCAGACCTTGGGAATCCAAGCCATTCCCAAAAAAACACCACAAGCCCAAGAGTTCCAGCTCTTGGGAATCCAGAAAACTCCCAAAAAACACCACAAGTCCAGGAATTCCCAAAAAGCACCACGGCTCCAGGAATTCCAGACCTTGGAAATCCAAGCCATTCCCAAAAAACACAAATCCAGGAATTCCAGCTCTTGGGAAAAGTCCCAAAAAACACCACAACTCCACAGATGTGGTTGGGATCATCCTGAGCTTCCCTGCCCACCGCCCACATTCCCAAAAATCAGCACATCCCAGAAACTGGCACATCCCAAAAATGGATGTGTTCCAAAACTGGGAGCATCCCAAAAATCTTTGTATCCCAAACATGAATGCATCCCAAAAACCAGGGCATCCCAAAAAATGATGCATCACAAAAATGGGCACTTCCCAAAGTGGGAAAATCCCAAAATGGGTGCATCCCAAAAAATAATGAATCCCAAAAATCAATGCTTACCAAAAATCAGCACATCCTAAAATGAGCAAATCCCCAAAAAATTTGCATCCCAAAACCCAGCACATCCTAAAAATGGGCACATCCCAAACCTGGTGCATTCCAAAAATTGGCACATCCCAAAAATCGAGACATCCAAAAAATCAACGCATCCCAAAAATCAGCACGTCCCAAAAAACGGACATATCCCAAAAATCAGCGCATCCCAAAAGTTGGAACATCCCAAAATGGGAACATCCCAGAAATCAGCACATCCCAAAAATCAACGCTTCCCAAAACATTGCACATCCCAAAATGGGCACATCCCAAAAACCTTCACATCCAAAAATTGGTGCATCCCAAAAAACCACAGCATCCCAAACATCAGCACATCCAGAATTGGTGCTTCCCAAAACTGGAAACATCCCAAAAATCAGCGTATCCCGCAAATCAGCACATCCCAAAAAACGGCACTTTCTAAACAACAGCACATCCCAAAAAATGGGCGCATCCCAAAAATCATTGCATCCCAAAAACCAGCACATCCCAAAAAATGGCACATCCCAAAAAATGGACATATCCCAAAAATCAGTGCATCCCAACATCAACAAAAAATGCATCCCAGTGCATCCCAAAAACCAGCGTTTCCCAGAAACTGGCACATCCCAAAAAAAAGGGTACATCCTGAAAAAAATGGAAACATCCCAAAATTGGGCATGTCCCAAAATTGGCACATCCTGAAATTGGCATATCCCAAAAATTGGCACATCTTAAAAAACAGACACATCCCAAAAATCATTGCATCCCAAAAATCAGCACATCCCAACACCAACACATCCCAAAAATCTGTGCCTCCTGAAATGGATGCATCCCAAAAACTGGCATATCCCAAAAAAACAGGGCATCCCAAAAATCATTGCATCCCCGTAAACCAGTACATCCCAAACACCAGCACATCCCAAAAATCAGTGCATCCCAAAATTGATGCATCCCAAAAAACAGCACATTCCAAAAAAAAAAGTACATCCCAAAAATTGCTGCAGCCGAAAAGTCACCACATCCCAAAAACCCGGAACATCCCAACGTTCCCACCCGGAATTTTCCACCCTCCCCACTCCCACCTCCCCTCCCACCATTCCCTCTCCTCCCTGGGGCC